TTATTTATTTATTTATTTATTTATTTATTTAATAACTGCTTGTACAGCTTGAGAAAAAATGGTTCTTTAAATGTCTTAATTTAAATTTGCCTCATCTATACAAAACATGTTGGTATTCATTAAATTCCAGTGAAATATATTTATGTTTGTGGTTGTAATGTGACAAAATATGGAAAAGTTCAAGGGGTATGAATACTTTTGCAAACCACTGTATGTTTTATTATTATTGCTTTTTCATTTGATTTTAAATTAGATTTTTAAACACAAAATCTCATTTTGTCTGATGGACAAATCAATTCATTGTACAATATTGAGAGAAGCTGAATTTTCGGATTGTTCTACCCAATAAATTTTTTTTTTTACTTTGCTGTTTGTATTTGTACAAACATTAAAACGAACCTACTGACAGAAAACCTGTAAGAAAACAGAAGAAACATTTGGAATGAGCAACAAAAACAAGTTTAATTCATAATAAATGAGACGCAAAATATTATCCAGACAAAAGTTATATGAAAAATACTTTAAATAATATCTGAAGACTAAAATCAAGTAAGAAATACTTGATGTGCAGATTTCAGAGTCATTATGATCCAAAATATTCTGACATCAATGGACCTTTACTGAAAATAAATTCATCTTTTTTTTCCTGTTCAGGAAAGATTAAACATCAGAGAATGAAATTAAAATGAAATTAAAAACATTATAACTGGAATAAAACTAACAAAGTCATATAAGGCTTCTCCAAAACACAATTATTGGAATTTATCTGCAAAACATAAAATCTTTACAAAATAAAACCAACATCATCTAATCAACCTGAGCCTCTTTGATCCTTTAACACTGAACTGATGAAAGGAAATGATTCAAACGTTAAGTTAGTGCAAAACAAGAACCTTCAGACACCTCTCCAGGTGTTCTTCAGACCTGAGGGACACCTGTCCAGGTGTTCTTCAGACCTGAGGGACACCTGTCCAGGTGTTCTTCAGACCTGAGGGACACCTGTTCAGGTGTTCTTCAGACCTGCGGGACACCTGTCCAGGTGTTCTTCAGACCTGAGGGACACCTGTCCAGGTGTTCTTCAGACCTGAGGGACACCTGTCCAGGTGTTCTTCAGACCTGAGGGACACCTGTCCAGGTGTTCTTCAGACCTGCGGGACACCTGCCCAAGTGTTCTTCAGACTTGCGGGACACCTGTCCAGGTGTTCTTCAGACCTGAGGGACACCTGTCCAGGTGTCTGAGGAAGAGAGAAATGTTTCTGCACGAGCAGCTTGGAATGAAACATCAGCCTCCTGTAGAGCTCAGGAGCCAAACATCCACCTGCCTTACAGGAATTTCGAATGGGCCTGACTGAGGTCACCCATGGACCAGATGCGGCCCCTGGGCCACCAGTTGGTCAGACCCTGCTTTAGTGCATTTGTTGATCTTGAACAGTAAAATCAAAACAAACAGAAAGTGCAACAGTGACAAACAATAAAAACACAAAGTAAAAAAGGGATTAATGAGTGTCTGCGAGTCGTGGGTTCTGTCTTCAGTCTGATGGTTTTACTGAAACATCAAAGAACTGAAGCAACACAGGAAAGAGGAGTGGGCCAAAACTCCTCCACAACCACGAGAGAAAAACAGAAGGAGGTTCTGTTGGGTCATAATCTGGACTTTTCCTGCAGCCTCTTTTTCTATTTATTTTTTGTTTGTTTAATTAAAGGTGTTGTGTGTTTTTGTTCACCTGAGGTTAGATCTGAATCATCTTAGAACCTATTAAAGACCGGATCAGGACCTGAACCAGAACAGAACTTCTGGTATTTATGATCTGACTGATGTAAAGAAAACAAACTTTAACCAGGGGCGGAGGTAGCCTTTTGGGGTGGCCAAGGTGCTTATCAGGGGCGCAGATTCACATAAGAGAAATACTCTGGATTTGAACATTCAAGATGGCCGCCACTGCTAATTCTAAATGACTTTAATTCAGCTGTTGGAAGAAATATTTAGCTGAAACTTTGTGATCATAGCTAATGATCCTGAAAAAATAAACATGCTGAATCCTAGTCACAACTTATTATTCAGCCATTTTTAGATGTACATTAGTGTAGAAGTAGCCGAAAACAATCTTTACCAAATTCTAAATGCTAATAAAAAAATTCAAAATGGCCACCACAGCCAATTTTTAAAAAAGCTATAATTCAGCTAAGATAAATTTAACTATTATTTAAAATATAAGACGACTTATTGAGATTAAATTTGTTGCAGTGTAGCTCAGAAAGATCACAAGTGAATTGCATATGCTAGTGCTCCAATTAAGCTAACCTTGAATGCTAATGCTAATTTTACAAAGAATTACAATTCAGCCATTTTTAAACGTACACATCTGAAAAATTACACAGTGCAGCAGCATCAGAACAATCTTTAAAAAAATCTGAATTCAAATACAAGATTCAATGTTAATTATTTGGGGGTGGCACGTGGGGTGGCCAATCAGGTGCCTCCCTGACCACCCCTCTAGCTCCGCCCCTGATTTCAACCAATATTTACACATTATTTTAAAAAACAAGACTCAGCTGCTGCTCTCATCTGTTAAAATAATCCCTGTACATGTAGTGGACCAGTATCAGGACCAGTACCTGCACAGTGAGGTGGTTTAACTGACAATAAACTGAAACTATGAAACCAGTTCTACAAACTCCAACCAGGTCCTGCAGCGCAGGAACAGTCTTTAAACGGTTCAGAAACTTTAAATAAAGTCCTCCTGGTCCAGAAGCACCTGAAGGGGTGTAGGGTTCACAAATGACCTCGATGCTTTAAGAGATCCGAAGCTGAAGGACCGGTCTGAGCAGCATTGGGACCCTAATTCCAGGACCAGCTCAGATGGTGATGTAATGCTGTCGCAGTTTGGCCACCAGGAACTCGTGGGTTAAATTATGTCGGGTGATAATCCCAACAATCTGCAGGAAACCAGACTTTAATGAGTCACTTACAAGCTGCTAAAAGTCAAACAAACGTGTCTGAACTCACCTCTCCAACAGCGTTGACCACGGGGAGGTGCCGCAGACCCATGGTCCTGAACAGGTTGAAGACCTGAGAGATCCGGGTGTTGGGGGACACGGTGTAGGGACTTGTGTTCATGTAGGGGGTCACATCCTGGGAACACATCAGTCACCTCATCAGCTCAAAACGACTAATGCCCCTTTTCCACTAGTGCCACTAAGTGTAGTGTTGGTAMGGTTCRGTACGGTTCCAAACYGTTTCCATTAGGCCAGATYCATGGAACCAGCACTTTTTTAGTACCAACTTCATTGTGGYTCCCAGTGACCCCAGTTGACACCAAAATGTAACGTCAGAACACTGTTAGTCACTGATTGGCTAAACTTTTGCAAATTTGTAAAATTTCAAAAGTTATTCATCAAATGTGTTTCCATCTCTCATTTTGCACATTAACTTTTTTTCAAAACACCTAAAAACCACCTCCACCAACCGCCCAAAACACACCTATTGGAACCGGACTGGAACATCAGTGGAAAACCATCCAGTCCGACCCGTACCGAACCGTACCTACACCGACCGTTCTGACACTACACCATGGAAAAGGGGCATRACTGAATCTGAACTTCCTGTTGAGAAACGGACCGTACCACGATCATGAGGGGGTTCAGCAGGGTCAGGTCCACCTCGTGGATGTCCGGGTACCGCGGGTAGTCCTCGGTCATCTCTGCGTAGGACAGGCGGGGCTGGGTGGCGTTCTGTTCCAGACGGAGGAGAGTGTCAGAAAACCTCGTAAAAGTGAATTTATCTGTAAAAAGCAGAAGAACCCACCGACTGGGTCTCAGAGTAGCAGACCCCCCGGATCAGCAGGTTGACCAACTGGGAGCGCAGGATCAGACCGTGGAAGGTCAGGGGTCTGAAGCGCTCCTCCATGGTCCACTCCTCACTGGGAGACTGGTCCGGGTACAGGTTTGGGTAGGGGGCATGTCTGCAGGTGAACAGAAAGGTGGGCTCCAACATGTTCAGCTGTTTCGGTATCAAACAGGCGGGTCGTCTCTGATCCACCTGACCCCCCTGACCCACCTTCTCTCCAGCATCTGCTGCAGCAGGTCCTCCCCCTCCTCCGCCGGTTCCACCGCCGCGTTCTGCTCGTCACAGACGTTCCTCAGCTCGCTGGACGGGTACGACTTCATGGACTGGCACCGGCGCCGCTGCTCCCCCGCGCGGGACACCACGTTGGACTTCTGCCGGGAGTTTAAGATCAGACGGATCAAAGTCAGAGGAGACATGACTGTAAAGAGCTTCAGCCTCAGACCTGAGGAAGAATCCACAGTTCAAGATTCAGGACATAAAGACAGGACTACCCGGTCCAACCCGACCCAAAACCTATCCTGCCCAACCCAGCCCGACCCACTCCCTCCGTCTGGACGTGGTACCTTGAAGCGGATGTTGTTGCTGATCAAGATGTTCCCCTTCATGAAGTCGCGCTCGTTCTGCCGGTTCTCCGTGACCACGGGGAAGGCRTGGTAGACGGTGGTCCGGAGGATGCTGACCAGGGACTGGACCCGGGTGTGGGGGTACACGTAGGTCAGGTTGGGCTCCATGATGTCGCTGGCTGTCAGCCTTTTAGGAAAAACAAAAGTCAGACACCATTCACAACTTCAGCTTCTTTTACTACTTCCTGTAGATGTTTTGGTTCTTGATGAATAAAAGTGGTTTGTTTGTTTGTTGGTTTGTTCAGTGAGGTTGGGAGGGTGATGGAGGTGTCTCTGAGTCTAACAGAGCTGCTTCCAGCTTTGTGTAACAGAAATGTTGGCGGTCTCATTTGATTGGCTCCCTGCAATGACATCACTTCCAAATATGGAAGTGAAGCTGTGACTCAAGTTTGCAGCACTTTTCCAGTGTTTGCGAAAACACATCTTAAAAGTACCGTATTTATTCAAGTATAATACGTAAAATTAAATCCATAAAGTCATCCATAAAGTTGGGGGGTAGTACTATACTCGGATAAATATTTTTACTTATGTATTGTAACTGAAATATCGGCTTCATTCGCAAAATACTTGAGTCCGGAAATGAGACCGAGTTGTAAAAATCAGTTGAAACGAGCTCACCTCTGACACTCCTCTGTGCTTCAGAGTGAGATAATAACAGATCCAGGCAGGAGACATGATGTGAAAAAAAGGGGAAAAAAGTATTCCTGTACCTTAGTAATAACATTAGTGTGTGATCGAGCCGCTCTTTGAACAACAACAAACACATGTTCGTCTGTAATGGCTGACGTCTACCGGTGTTCTGAAAAAGTTTGTATCCCTGAAAAACGTTTCCCCACCAGAGGGGGCGCTCGCGAGTAGGAAGTAATCTGCTTTTCCYCCACAAGATGGTSCAAATCTCATGTGAAGTCTCTGACTTTTRTGTTGGCGCCTCCTGGTGGACTATGTGTAAAATGCCAGAATTCATATGATGCTGCTACAGCTGATATACAGTATATTTGTTGTCAAAATACCTTTTATTACATATGTTGTTAAAATAAAATGAACAGTCCAATGAAAAATCTTGAAGTCTGTATGAAATTGGAAGTAGTTTGAGGATGAAATTTTTATTTTTTTAAGCTGAAAAAAGGGGGGGGGTCGTATTATACATGAGATCGTATTATACACAAATAAATACGGTATATGTTAACTCCTAATACTTTTCTGATTATTTCTGATCAATTCTGTCGGTTTATTAGATTTTTTCGAACAACCTGAGTAAAACCTATGGTAGAAAATTAGAAATCAATTAATATTATTTTTACTACTACTCCAGCCGATCACAGCAATAATGTTTCCTCTCCTTTTTTTTCCCCAAACATGCTTAAGTGGCTACAAAATGGGACCTCAAGGTCACCAAGCCTGGAGCCAAACCAAACTACAAAAAAAAGAGACGTATTAGGAATGAGGACATCAGCACAGGAGAAGAAGGTGAGGAAGATGTGGAGCAGTTGTAACTACAGCTTCTACTGCAGTGACTGTCTGAAGAGGACAGGGATGTGCCAGACTGTAGTGATTCAGATGATGATGCWGATCATGAGAGCTTTGATGAACAGGACTTTGAGACCAACTGTAGGAAACTAGAGGACTACTGCTACTGCACTTTTGATTTCAGTGCCTCTTTTGAGGGAAATTTTAGTGATTTCAATTCTGAACTGTAGTCTGATATTTATTTATTGCTAATAAGTGTTTTGAGATTACATTTGAATCTTGATTTTATTGGTAAAGCTCCTATATGTTGAAAGTACAGTGAAAATAATGCAAATGTCACATAGTGATATACTGTTTCTGTAGATTGATGCATGTATCTGTAGCTACTACGACACCTGAATTTCCCTGCGCGGGACAAAAAAGGCGGTTTCTATTCTATTCTATTATTCTATTCTATTCTAAAACATCTAATCTTACTTGTCCATTTCAACCTCTGTTTCCCACTCCAGCAGAGGAACTCCTTTCAGCTGGATGTGGATGTCGTAGATGCCTTTGTTGAAAAAATCTCCGGTCCACTTCGCAACCTGAGAGTAAAACACAAAGAAGCCCTGAATCATCGGGTCGTGGATATTCCTCCCTCCATCACGGTTCCAAACAGAGGACGCAGCGCACCATCAGGGTGATCATGATGGGCAGCCCGTACGTGATCTCATTGGTGGACTCGATGAGGATGACGGTGAGGCTGATGGTCATCCGGACCACGCCCCCGAGGAAGGCGGCAGCTCCAATCAGAGCAAAGGTCCCGGAGTAAATGGCCATCCCCAGTTTCCTGAGGAGAAACCAGGAAAACCAAAATAAGCCTCCACCGAGTTTACACACAATCTGCAGAAATATTTCAAAATAAAAGCTTCTTCATTCTAAATAGAGAAGTTTTGTTTTACTCTGATATTTGTCTCTTGGTGTTAAAGCCACCAGCAAACTCAAAAACAAATTTATTTTTACACTTTGAGGATGTTTGCGACGAGACGACCGAATGCAGCGCCGCAGAGGAGCGACGGGACGAAGAGCCCGCTGGGAACRGAGACTCCGTACGTCCAGCAGGCCAACAGGAAGTAGAGCAGGAAGAAGAGCGACAGGGTGACCGGACTGAAGGTTCCTGTGGGGAACCCGAACATCAGCAGGTTATCAATCTGTGGCAGGAAGTTTCAAAAAGATTTCACAATAAAGGTCTCACCGTCCTGATGGAAGAGCTGATGGATGGCAGCTTCCTGTGGGTTGAAGAACAGAGTGGCCATGTCGTTGTACGTCCTGTTGGAACAGAAGAACTGACGCACCGTCGAGTTGATGTCCTCGCTGTCCGCCAGCTGGAGACAACAGAAAGGGACGACAGGAGGGACAGGATGAGACGACAGGAGGGACAGGATGAGACGACAGGAGGGACAGGATGAGACGACAGGAGGGACAGGAAGAGACGACAGGAGGGACAGGACAACAGGACGAGACGACAGGAGGGACAGGAAGAGACGACAGGAGGGACAGGATGAGACGACAGGAGGGACAGGACGAGACGACAGGAGGGACAGGAAGAGACGTCAGGAGGGACAGGAAGAGACGACAGGAGGGACAGGAAGAGACGACAGGAGGGACAGGAAGAGACGTCAGGAGGGACAGGAAGAGACGTCAGGAGGGACAGGAAGAGACGTCAGGAGGGACAGGAAGAGACAACAGGAGGGACAGTATGAGAGAACAGGAGGGACAGGACAAGATGACAGGAAGTACATGAAGAAGACAGAGTCTGAGAACATCTGTCCATAACATTTGTGGAGTTATATTGAGGACAACTAACTGTGGACTGTCTTATAGATGGACAGGAAGTCGTCCTGCCTTGATTTGATTTGATTTATTGATTTAACAGGAAAAGATTATTAAAAATCAAGCCTGACTCAGCATAATTG